CCCTTCAGTTCTTTTTTGATTCGAGGGAATAAGAAAAAATCACAAGGAGCAAGGTCTGGACTGTATGGTGGGTGGGGAAGAAGTTATGAAGATATTTCGTTACGATTCTTGCCTTATGTGGTGCGGCGTTGTCGTGATGAAGCATGACGTCACGAACAGTTGTTCTACCCCTTTTTTCCATAAAAGTTCGAAAAAACTTCTGGCAGTATCTCGTTGGCATAAAGGTTAGCGTTAACTGTTTGTCCTTTTGGGACCACAAATCGTGCGATAACTCCGTCTACAGAAAAAAATATACAAAACATTCTTTTCTTCGAATTTTGGGCTGTCCTCACTAATTGCGGCCTGTTCTCTCCCTGACTTGTTCGCTTCCTTATTTGAAATAGTAAAGAAATATATCCACGTTTCATCACCAGTAATAATGTTTCTATACCCTCGGTCTAAAATTTTTAATAGTTGCTTGGAAATTTCAACACGTTTCTGTTGTTTTCCTCTGAAAGCCTATGAGGAACCCATTTTGCACAGAGTTTGTGGGGGTTCAGCTCGTTATGCAAAATGTCGGAAATTCTTTCACCAGAAATACCGACTTCGTTAGCTAATTCTTTAATAGAAACGTGTGGGTCATTGCTAACAAGATCTTCGACCTTGGCAATTTTTTCTGACGTCACTGCTTCGCGAGGACGCCTAGAACGAGCCTTGTCTTTAATTTCTTCTTCCCCGTCTTTGAATGTAGCAATCCAGCGTCCAACTGTGCTGATAGATAGTGCTTGTTCCCCTTCTACGTTCACCAACTCTTCGTGGATTTGAGTTGCATTTCTACCATTTTTCCAAGAAGCGAAAATAAAGTATCGTTGGTTCTCTCGGCTCATTTTTCTCCAGTTGCTTTACTATGGCTTACAAAAAAAATGATTTCTCGACAATGAGATAATGAATTTGCTTCAACTTTTTTTTCATTTGTAACATGAAACTATGCGCATTTGATGATTATTTCCATTTTGAGTTAAACTGATGCAATCTCGAGTTAGAGGGCACACGCAAAACCCCTCTACTTATCGTGTTACATTGCACATTAGCGTGATATTTCATCAATTACTGAATTATACACAACATTTCGTCTATTACTTTTTTTTCTTAACGACATAGTTAAGTCATAAACATGGGTTAATATTACAACAATGCCATTAACTTTATGTGCTTCATAATTATTCTTCAAATCATAAGGCCGCTTATGCGTTTGCAACTATTTGATGTAATAGTAATAAGTAACTTATGAATTTGGTCTAACAGTATGCAAATTAGTATAATAAACGGATAGTTAATGGTTACTACTTCCTTGACAAACTTTTTATACATTTCTTCTTCACAACCATAACGATTGAGAAACAAAGTTTTCATAGCGACTGGCACTCCAGATTGCTTTATCTTGGCTTTGTATACGACACCATATCCACCGTGACCAAGAAGTGTACGATCCAAAAGGTCCTCTTCAGTATATTGTTTGATGAATCCTTCCTTGACGCCTTTAGCTAACCATTCCCTGTATACGTCCGTTAGACAGTTGGACCTCGGACATATTTTAGTGAATGAATTATTGACGATGCAGAAAGCCATTTCATGTCATACCACAACTTAGCCAATACAGTTTTACGGTAACGTAATAGTAATACAACCGAAATACCAATCACAAACTCCAAACGGGAGCAATGTACCTTCGTCCTTTTAAACTAGGATAGCGACAAGTAGTACGCTTCGATGGATGGAGGTTGTTTTTTTGTGTTTGGATACTAACTATAATATAATAATTTCAAATTATATGGGTCAAATCGTAGTTGAACAACTAGAAAATTAATTGTATAACGTTAATTTCGAATGTAAGAACGCATCGTTAACTTCAATTGACAAATAAAAAATACACATAAGATATACGTTCAACTATTTTCAGGTTTTCTTTATTTCAGACAATTGTGTCTGAAATTAAAAGTACGTATTCTATTTACATGTAATATAGAAATTTAATGTCTACATATAAACGCGGTGACGACAAAAGGCTTAAGAGCGCGGAATATTGTTTATAAATTAGAGAAAACTTGGGTATATTTTGTAAACTAGAACCTGGTAAACACATTTGTTTGACCCGACCTTTTAGTAAAATGTATTTTGATTCAAGTCTGGTACAACTATCACAAAAGGCCTGGAATTTTAACCCTCGTAAATAGAAACACATAGTTAATTTTTGTTCACTCCATCATTTCACGGTCATAACGTTATAAGGTTAAGACTCAGCTAATTTGTTTATTTTTTACTTTTCTTTAACATTATGATATAACAATTTCTATCATCAAAATAGATTAATGACATAGAGAAGACAATCTTACAATAAAACAAACAAAATTTAAAACGCACGAGTGCTAATATTATTGCTATTATTATGTACCAAATACGTTGAGGAACTTTTTTTTGAAATCTGAAACAAAATGGTTTTAACACGCATAGTCTATGTTCATAGCCGTAATTTCCAAGTATATGGAATTGTCTGCGTAATAAACTTTTCATGGAATATCGAAACGTGTGAAGACCGTTCGCAAAAGGAGACCAATAAATGCTTGGAGCGAGTGTTATAGTTATTGTTGTAATTTCGGTGTACTTTTATACTAGCAATGTGTAAACTTTGATTTCATGCTTCTTCTTCTACTCATATGATGATTGCCTACCAGGCACTATTACAAATTTTGTATTAATAAAAGTATTATTATTATTGTAAACGTACGGATAATTGTCTTATCTGTAGATTTAAATTATTTTGATACTTTAGGTTGCTTCATTCAAATATTATTTAAACGTGTTAGCGCATATGAAATTACGTAATCCTCATCTATTCAATCGACGAACTTTGTTGTACTTGCTCTCACATTCAAATAATGAGACAAATTTGTGCATTTTCGAGCTATCGCAATTAATGCTATAATGTGCCGACATAATTTTCATTGTTCTCAACGCAAGCGCATTATGGGTAAAAATTCTTGAAAGTGCGCTTATGTTTTTGTTTTGTTATTTCTTGTCAATTAATTATCTTCGTTGCATGCTATTTGGACAATTTAGTTTACACCTTTTATTTGATTAGTCTATTTGCTGGTCTCACATTTGAACCATCGTAATTTCGTGATTATTTACAACTAATCACAGAGTAAATAGCAGTATGAAAAAGTGTGAACTAATCGGTACTCTTATTTCCAAGCTACATTTGCATCTTAAATTGCTAAAGTAAATGCATAGAATGAAATATAGTTTCGTAAACTAACTAATCACAAATACTATCCGATCGTTGAAATGTTAATTAAAGCGTCCACTAATGAACCGCAATGGATGAACTCAATGACCACACACCTACAATCGACAAATCACCTGTAGATGTTAATGTTGTATACATAAAGCACTCATAGTGTCATTGATGCATTAAGATCAGTATTGGCCTTTGCTCAAGTCTCATTATGCATGACAGAATGACAAATGGCATCCACGTGTTCAAAATAGCCAGTCTCAATTAACGTTCTTAATGACGGCATAACAATACAAGCGGAAATTGTTGAACAATGATATCAAATCGTCTCATAGACAATTTGAAGACACACAGGCTATTCCTTGTAAGGCATCCACACTTACATTGCACTGCTCAGAAAATAGAACGCCTTACGCTCGTAGAGTATGTATGATTTTATCATCGTACAGATAAATGGTTATTCTTCATTGATACAAGAAAACTTTTCTTTTATGTTACCATTTGCTAAATCATTGACAAACCTGATTAGGTTACTACTGCCCACCCAGCCGCTTAATGAGATGATTGCCTTCGAACAGTCCAGATTTGATAATCCCAATTTGAGTTATTGTTAGTAATATTATATGCATGCTAAAAAAAAAAAAAAACTCTGAAACACAATCTTTCACATGCCCGTAAACTGTAGCAGATCGATCAGTGGGAAGATGATCAATGAAAAATAACTGTAAAAGAATATCGATGATTTTAGGGCCACCCTTAAATTTTATGCAAAGGCCACATCATAAGAGTATCAAAATATTAAAATCTGTCATGTTGTATAACAGATTCTTTTTTTTAAACGGTCGAGCCATGTATTTGAACAGTTACCTCGTCGGCTTTATCTTTCTTTTTCTATATTTATCTCGTTTTCTCTCTTCCTTCCATTTTTGAATGCAATTATTAATTGATGGTATTTTTTACCTATAATTCGTCACATGATTGTCTTATTGGGGATTGCAGCATCGTTCCTTATCTATAAAATGCCATGATTGAAACGTATGACCGAGTTACCGCCTCTTACCAATTTGGCACTTGCACATGCATTCAATACGGGGGAACAGACTACGGTTTGTGCATTGGCTCATTGTTAAGAGTACAGAATGCGCTGTATGGCATCTCTCATTCACCAATTGCGGTTTTGGCTGACATGCATTATCTACTTTGCAAATGTGTTATCATCTTCCTATCATTTATTATTAAGCGATTTGTGTTCCACGTAAAATTAATGCATGCATATATTTCAGTACTCACATCTCACATGCTTTCTTACTATAAAGTAATAGTTGTAACCGTAGTTAAATTTATCAAAAAAAGCTTGTTTGAATTCTTGTTCTTTTCTTTATTGTCGCGTGTGTGGGTGGGTGTGGGTGTGGGTGTGGGTGTGGGTGTGTGTGTGTGTGTGTGTGTGTGTGTGTGTGTGTGTGTGTGTGTGTGTGTGAAAGAGAACAGGGAATTTAATCGTTGTTACGATAAAGCACGAGTTTTTTTTTTAGTACACCGGAGTTGCTGTTTATACCCGTCGTCTGCTTCCAGCAACCAACCCAACTCCTTTTGCCGTATCGCAATATGCTGTGTGTTTGTTTACATTATTTTGAAAAAGCGTCTATTTAAATTATCCTATTTGTTCACCTCTAATCACCCCCCTCCCCTGTTTTCACGTTGATGTAACTGGTAGTGATAATTAATATAGTTAATGTTATCAATCTACTCTATTCGATTCGAAAGCATTCAGTAATTCTTAAATAACAACCCAAGAGCGTTGGAAACAATAACACGAAAAAGTGTAACAGCCCAAAATATTTACGGTAATAAAACTATTGAGACATCCTATATAATAATAATGTTTATCCGTGTTTGTTACTCCCACGGGTAGTAATTCTCACTAAAAATATCGTTATACCTACTCTACTGGCAATATATATTACAAACAGTCAACAGTTACTTTACATTTTAAAAAAATTCTTTATTCTTTCCTTAATATTTTCTTACCTTTCCCCTTTCCCTACCCTTTCCCTTAATATCTTCTTACCGTACCCCACACATCCCTACCTCCCCCATTCTTCTTACGTGTCGTAAACGTATCTCCCCTCACTTTTTACGAACACTCTATGTACCGTGTCGTTGACGAATTTGACGTTTCATACATCTGAGGAAATTCTTACGACTCTCGGTCAGACTAGCAAAATATTGTCTTGACGAATTAAAACACCGCGAAAAAAAAAACAACTCTGTGTGAACTAATAAACCCGACTATCAGTGGTCATTACTCGATAGTTAGAAATCGATAATGTCTGACCAAGAGTATACTATTCCTCTCTGTGGATACGCCTTCGTAGGTATGTAAATGGGGCCAAGACGAAAAAAGGAAGGGTGAATGGGGGTGGCAATTACATGTGTTGGCGGCATGTCTAACTACAACTTGCTCGTGTAGTTTATATGAAATACACTAACCTATTCATTTTCTAACCATTCAAACAGAGCGTTCAACTCATGCTATTTACGTATTGTTATGGTTTATCTTTCATGCCTTCATGGTAATAATCTAAAAAACTTTTACCACAAAGTATGCAATGTCTTTTTGTCATAACCAGTTTTTTTTTCTTCATTGCCGTTTAGTGCGATAATTTGAGCGCTTTGAAGCCCAGTCGACTCTTTGCGCTTGATCTCAAGTCAATAATGACAGCATTAATAATTCTTTTATTATTATCGAGTACAGTATACAACACCTTTCTCGTAAGTTATCCTATTTACGACATAGCATCGGTAACGATTAACGTAACGTTTTTAGTATTCTAACAATCTATCCTCCCTCGTAGACAAAAATAGTATACGAAGAAGGATTCATCGTCGCTGACAAGATAAGGCTCAAGACGCCCGATGAATGGTCTACTGAACATCAACGGTGGCTAGCTCCACTTGATTATATTCTTATGGTAAACTTTGGTATACAAACGTAAGTATTGGGATCGTGGGTTGTTGGGGAATGGGATGACTCGACAAATTACTCATAATGATCGTTCGTATAATAAACCAACTTTTTTTTTCTATACACAGCTGTGTATTTTATCTTCTCCAATGCTTCTGGGATTACACATCACAAGCGATTAGCCACGAACCCATAATATCATCAATGGAATATCGAGGCTATGTCGTCTGGTCAACAACTTCTGCTTTTGCTTTCGCCATTATCCGACTTGTCCTGCACAATGACGAACATCTTCGAGACGTAATACCGTTAACAGTATTTTCAATACAAGTTCTTGGTGCCGCCATTCTCCAAATACAAATCTACTACCGATTCAAGAAACTTATCAAAGTCTCAAACAGAAGCAAAAATTCCACCTTTATAATAGCCAAAGCGCGATACTTTGTAGATTTGATCAAGATACTTATTGCTTCGCTGCTCATAAGTAGTATCAGCATGCTAGTGCTTTGTATTGATTCGCTTATTAAAGAACCAATAATGAGGCAGAGCGACTTTGCAGTAGAAGTATTGATTGCCCACTATAGTTTTGCTCAATTGATTTCATGGATTGTGTTGGTTTTGATAGTTTATCCAAGGAAGGGATTCGTTGGCCCAGGAGGAAATCCAGAGCACTTGAGTTCAGTCCAGACGGATAGCTTCCAAGACGTTGGAAAATTCATGTCGGCGTCTGCAACGCAAGGGTCAGGGGCTGGATTGCCTCGTCAATCGTTGTCCATCTCTCCTGATGCTTACAAAGCACGCCATTCCGTATCCCCTGATGGATCAAGACAGCCGCAAACTCCTGCTAACGTCATTCCTCTTTCCGGAAATCCGCTTCGGCGTAATATCTCAGTATCAAAAGATGGAAGAACAGTGTACGCAGAGACCAAGACATTGGGGAAAGTTAACGGCTCGGAATTTGTCGCTGTCGAAAAGGCAGATCCGAGTCTTCTTGCGAGTTATTATCTTACAAATGATGATACGGGACATGCAGATAGAATACAAGGAGAGTCAATGCCCGTGAATGGGTTATCAAACGCAAATACTACAGTGGCGCAGCAAACGAAAACTGTGCTATCACAGCCAATACAACCTTTTCACAAACTTCAAATGCAAATAAATGCTCAGCAGGGACAACAACATCCAACAACGGTGCAAGGATCAAAGAGCAGCATCGTCAATAATAGTTCCAATAGTTCCACAAATCCGCCCGAGCAACCGCCACCGATAATACCACCAGCCCAATTGTCACCGCGACCGCAACTGCAATCGCAATCGCAATCGCAATCGCAATCGCAACCGCAGCAGCCCTCACAACCTAATAATTCTAATGCCTCACCTCCATCATCATTTCTTTCCGGTACATCACCTTTCTCGCAACCACTCCGTCCGGCTTCGCCAACGGCCCAAAATAGTTTTCTTCGCTCTCTCCAGTTTCCCTCCCAAACAGCTTCTCCAAAGCGAACTTCTATACAATTGACGGCCGCGCGCAATTCGGTACAAATGAGCGAATATAGGCGGGGGTCATCTGATAGTACGACACCGTCTACAAGGACAATGACAACAACTCGGACGGTAACGCCCGATACACCGAGCGAAAGATCACCGATTAGAATTTTTGCTAATACGGTCACAACCACTACTGTCGTAAATGCAAATGATGAAGAAGAGGATGATGGAATAGGGAGACGAAATTTAATAAGAGACATCGATAACCTTGAAAATGACTTTGATACAGATACAGAACGATATCCCACACCGGGTGGTGAACCGGATGAATACAGTAGTGGCGAGGAAATAATTAGTGAAGCTAATAGCAGTGACACGGAAACTGGTGGAAGGAGTATGAGGAAAATTAATCTCGAGTCTGCGCTTGCTGGAACTGGACTTGGTGCTATAAAAAGAGACTTTGGAATTCATGATGATGATGATACCGATGATGATGATAATAGTCTAAGGATGGAGAGAGTCGGAGGCGTGTCGGGGCGAGATGTTATTAGAGATAAGGACAGTGCCAGAGATAGTGTTGGACAAGTCAGTGAGACAGAGAGTGAATTGTATTGGCATGCTATGTGATTAGTGTAATTTATTTTGTATAGCTTAAATGGTGGGAGAAAAAAGGTTATTATTATTAGTTGATAGTAATAACCCGCTGAAATTGCCGCTGATTAATAATGTTGTATACTCTACTTATATTCATATTAGTTTTACCACCACATTACCCCTTTCATTTAATGGCTTAATTGTATTTTTATTTGCATCCGATACCATGTAGAAATTAGCAAATATTCTATTACTTTCATTTCAGAGGACTGGTTCCCCGACTATTAAAATATGGGTTCTTAAAGATTAACCAAAACACACAAATTGAAGGAATGTTTTGAACATGCAACAGTGTTTATACGTTGCGCGAGTCTTGTATATGACGCATCGAACTAAATGAGAAATGAGCATGTAACCACTAAAACTACCATACTACGATTGATCATTTCTCGTTCTGCGTTATTTCATCCGATTCGTCAACACTCTCCTCTATGACACCACCACCCAAACACCAGTTGCCATCCCACACGACAACATACTAGGAACAGATTGGTTGTATACGCCCCGATTAGATATCTGTGTAAAAAACATGGTTTGTCAAAATCATTGTACTCACTTGTCCAGGTGCAACAGCTTGGATAGGGTCAGAGAATTCCACCAGATACTTGCAATCCGATCTATAATGCATATATATACGTGCATATATATATGTGTATATATTACTGATCCAAGCATAAACCCAAGCACACGTAAGCAATAGCGGGGAAATAATACCTCATCGTGACTTTACATGGTTCTAATAAACAGAATGTAATGTATCATCAAAGGGAGGATATATAGTCAAAAGCGACGGCTCCCTTACTTACTCACCAGCTACTTGTCGATATCTAACCTGCCCAAGCAAATCAATACCTATTGGGAAAAACGCGATACATAATCAGTGTCGAGTCCCACAAGATTTTTTTACTGCAACTGTCGAATATTTTCATAAATAGGCTTTTTCGCGCGCGCGCGCGCTTGACCTTGCTCAATACCGTCTGGCGGTTCATTCCAACTCCATATCCAGTCTCGTGCTACGAGTTTACGTGAAAAGAGTAATAGATTGGTTCTGGTTGCAAAAAAAAAAAAAAGAAAGAAAGAAAAAGATAAAGACTTGTTGCTAGCGTTTCGATACGATTAACGTGAGAGGAGGAGGGGTGGTTCGAAACGGTTTTGACTTACGATCCAGGTACGACAATAATTGAATTATTTTCAACATCCTTCTTATATACAAACCATCTGTGATGAAAGTAGACATGGTTAGCAGGACGGACATTGGGAGGGGGATGCGTTGAAAAGTGAAGGAATCTGGCGGAAAGTGATTTGGTGCCTTTGAGGTCCATAGTGCGTCCTGGTACACTGTCCTATAGTATACGCGAATAGACCGCGATGTGTTCCTATTATTTAAAAAATGAGAGTCAAGTCTTGAGTTTTCAGCAACCCCCCCTTACTTCAAATAAATTACACCATTTCGCAAAACCCCACAACAAACTACCATACCGATAACGTGACCATCAATCGTTTTAATCTCGCCGGGCGTATTGTCAATATACTCTCCTAGAAAATCGGCAAACTTGTTCTTCTCACCGACAAAGCATAGACCCATACTCTCGGCTTTGTTGGCTATGATGAGATTGGCTTTATTGGCTATTTGCCGTACTTGTAACTTTGTCAGATGACCTATTGGAAAGATCGTCTTTTGGTTTTTGTAAAGACCGAGTGAGAAAAAAAAAAACAAGGATTGGGAAAACATTGACAAAAGCGCGAAAATAAACGGTTGCGCGTCATATCGACTGAATCGTCATAAAGCCAGTGCTTACTCTTTGTAGTTTTTCTTCTGGTACTGTCGACAGATAGTACGTTTGATCTTTGGTCGAGTCTACCGCTGTTGGATCACAAATGAGCGTTAAAGAAAATTCATCGACGTATACATCGAATTGAATCTACTGATAATCGTTCACTTGGACTTGCCACGTAACAATTTAATCTTTCCACAAGGTGCGACTTCCCTTTGAGCGTAGTGACCTAAGTACCATAACAAATTCTCAATGTTGGCTCATTTTCAAACACACACTTTACAACCACAATCCTCACTTTCCTCATTCCCCTCCATTCTTACCCGTTGCCATCCATACACCCTCATCGTTTTGACTGGAACCAAGTATTTTCTCCAGCAGCCGACCAAATTTGATTTCTCGATTGCACATTACATCCGGGTTAGGTGTAAGCCCGCGTGCATAGTCGTCTATGGCCTTGGTAAATACTTGGATCCAATATTCTTTTATAAAGTTGATCTTATTGTTGAGTTTTGACATTGAGTTTTTCGGTGGTATGAGTTAATATGTTTGCTGATAAACCGAGTAAATATTGATCAAATACATACAAATTATATTAACGATACCTATAATGTCCGATCAAACAAGTCAATTTTACGCATCGAACATTAATAACCATGGTCAAGCCTATTTTTTTCTAACTGATAGTTGGGATCACTGCGATAAACTTGCCATAACCCCCTCCTTCCCTCTTTTCCCTACGAACCTATTCCACTCACCATTCGACAAGGGATTCCAATTTGCTTACAGACATTTTGAACGTCTTTCCAATCCTGATCGCCGGTACAAACACTTTTCTCATCAAATGTATCCCAATTACGCATATAGACTCCTTCCACGTTATATCCCTTTCCAAATATAAGTTATGTTCGATCCTCTCAAGAAGGCAAAATCATTGATCCAGTATTTACCTATATATTACAGTCAATATTGTGCTTTACCTGTTTATGAAGTAAATAAGCACATACGCTCGAATCGACTCCACCGGACATGGCAACTATTACTACAGATTTTTTTATCCAGTAAAATTTTTTTCAGTGTCAAAACCTCTGGGAGGGGGCTTGATTTACCCGGATGAATCATACATACCGCGATCTCCAGAACGCGGATAAAGATGAGAAGTGAGCGAAGATTGAAATCTGACGGATAAAAGGCAATTATTGATCGGAATGGGCAGACGTCCTAAAGGTAGCTTGATACGGATGAGAGAAGCAAGCATCTTTTGCTGAACAGTTCCACAGAATTAGATTTTTGTTGAATACCATGATCAGCTGATCAATAAGAATCTCGCGGTAACAAACTCGTAAGAATAATGTTTACCGCCTAAGCAGAAATCTGTTTAAACCAGCGGCCTGCGTTGCTGTGGTTTGCTCGCTCGTTTAGCCAGCGGCTGGTTCAGGTAAACCCTCAAGCTAAAAAGTTTCAGATTTCTTAGTTTGGGCAGGTGCCGTTTCACATACGCGGATAATAATAAGACATGATTTTTGTTTGCGCAGAAATGAGCTTTATACGCACAACCATCGTTAGCATTAGTATGAAATCAAAAATACCCATGTCGATTTATAAAACTACGGCGTGTTTGTTAAATCAATAATTCTTTCTTGTAAACGCGTTTACTATAACACTTTACACTGTAAGCCGGGTCCGGTTCATTTCACCGACAGGTACATTTCACAGACGAAATTTACCAAAAATAACTTCGAAATAGTGTTGGAGAAATTTTGTCGGCGAAAATGATTGCCGGTGATGCCTCTCTCTGCATACATAAAACATATACTAATACAATATTTTTTTACTTTTGTTTGCTATTAATATGGTTTGTCGGTCATATTAATTTTTGCAACGCAGGAGCACATAGTAATAATGAAACTACTACGTTACCAGCTGACGGAAAGACTCGCCCCGTTTTCATACAAGTAATAATAATATCATCAATCTTAGCGAACGTACACAATTGTCAGTTTGGGTCCGTATCATTTCACCGAAAATTATTTCACCGACGTAATATTTCACCGACAATCATTTCACCGACAATCATTTCACCGACATATTCACCAACATTATTTCGAAATTATCCTTTTTTGGTAGTGTTGTCGGCGAAATGATTGTCGGCGAAATGATTTTCGGTGAAATGATTGTCGGTGAAATCTTACGTCGGTGAAATGATTTTCGGCGTTATGATCGTCTCCCGTCAGTTTATTCTTGAATATAATCTTTCGTAACGAACGATTATCAAGTTATAACGTCCGTTGTAAAGCTTTTAATTTACAAAAGTTTTATTATCGGAAGTCTATAGTAGAAACTCACGTTCATTTTGTTGATTAGTTAATATAGTTTTGATAGTTCCTTGTGAAATAATTTTTAGAAAGAGAGAATGCACTTTATTATAAAATTCAGAAATGTGTATACTTCTTAAAGCTAAATAGTATATTTGTAACTCCTATTTTCTTTTCTACTACAACCTTTATTATAATGTCAATACTTGTACGCGCTCCCTCAGCATCAATGCATGCTATTTATATTATTTACCATCACCTTTTTATCAATTTCCTCTCCGTTCCTCCCTAATACTAATAATGCTATGAAATTGTTTCAGAGACTTTTTTTTGTGTTATCATTTTTTAAAATCTGGACTGTATGATAATGAAGGCCAATGTGGAAGGTGGGACTTTGGACATTCCTAGACATCATTGTTTTGCTGAGAAGGCCCACTGACCACCTACTAACTGTCAGCATTATCATAAAACTGTTCATTTGGTCAATTTTTAATTTTACAGCCACATCATAATCAGCCTCTCATTTATAAAATGTTCACTTTGTCTGGTTTTGTTGCAGTTTGCCCCATATGAAAGAGCTTTTGTATGGTGAAATTGAAATGAAAACTTCTGATTGAGAGAAGAAAATATTTGCTTTGAAGAGTAACGGAACTGAGGAAGTAGTATATCTCAACAACATGACAAAGGAGGCATTATTATTAAACAAACACAAAGTTGATGAGATAGAGTCAGTCAGATCAATTGACGGTCACAACCATTTCTGGCCATTTCAGCTATGGGATATATTCTCCATCGGAACTTTCTATACTATTCGTAATATTTATAAATATATAACTATTAAATAAGAATTACAACGTTTCTAATTTGATTGCTACTCTTAATGGCCTATTAATTTCGTTAATATATTTAATAATAACGTAGTTGTTTCATCATACGGACGAAGACGAAAAATATATCACCGAAGATCGGGTACAACATATGTGCCTGAATACTAACGGACGAAGAAATGCCGTTCTCACATAAAATATTAACATTCGTTATACATTATTTCGTAAATATTATTTCGTTAGTGAAAGTTATTTCCTGCCGCCACATTAATATTTCTCTTTCCACTGTAATGCTTTTCATCAAGAGTATCCGCATTTCGCTTCGCTAATGGCTCCAATGCTCTACCAACACTTTGGCATAGGCTGCTCCCCTCATTACGAAATAATATTTTAACACAAAATAACGAGGAATCGGCTATGGACGGTATTTTTTTAATAACCGAATCTATAAAGGCGGAGTTGGTGTTGGTAGTGTTACGTGTTAATGTCGTTTCGGTTAAAAGCGTGATTGAACGTTTCAAGATCTACCGCTCCCTTTTCAGTCATCTTGTTGATGCGAAAGGCGTGAAGAGCCACGTCTGATTGGCCAAAAACTCTGGAAACCCGTCTCAAAAGACGCTTTGCAAGAGCTGTTACTGCTTGAGACAGAAAACACTTACGAAGATATTGGGTGTTGTGACGTCAGCGTCAAAGTCGTTGGTTGTATTGCTATCGCTGTTATCGGTGTTATTGAGAAGATTGTTTTTGAGAATATCAAGAATTTGCTCTAGCAGCAGACTGTTGTTGCTGTTGTTCCTAAGGGTATCAAGAATTTGCTCCAGTTGTAAATTCATAGTATTGATGTTATCGTCATTCTGAGATGATGTGATAGAAGGAGGAGCGGAGAAAGTTATTGACTCGGTGGTTTTGCAGTTGTCGTAGTATATGACCACTGTATTGTTGTCATAATAATAGACGTTTCTAATCTTTTAATAATAATTGTAAATAAGTCCGCTTTATAACGATGTAGTGTGGCAGCAACGAACTGTCACAATGCATAGACAATATTTAAAATTTTTGACTCCCTTTTTTGAGAGTGTTTATAATCGGTTGCTGTCCGATTTACTAAAGTGGTGTCTAATTCCGATAATAATTGGTAATATTAATTCATTGTTAGCCTATAATAATTCTATAATTTATGAGTTACTTGTCGATTACTGCTCGATGCCAAGTAAAGAGTATTAATAACACAGCTCATCACGTTTACAAAAGCGAATTGTAGGCGGTTCGGCCGACAGGAAATCTTTACTCAATTAGCTCAGCTATACTACAGCGACAGTTCAATTAAGATTGAATGATTAAGCTAAAAAGCACCTTTTTTTTTTAATTATTTACCCGCGCTTCCAAACCCTATACGTAACGCTTTTTCTAACGTTCGTACCAAATAAGGAAATCCGTAAATATATTAACAACGTTTCCTATTCTGTGGAATCGAAGGGAAAATACCCTATTAAACACGACAATACTTCGATTGGTGTTTTGACTAGCAAACGCGAGTGTTGTTTGACTTTATAGCGTGCAATATAACTTAGCGCAGTAGGCATGTCCGGATCGAATAATTAAATATTCAACGATAACCAATAAAAAAATAATTAAAGGAAATAAATATGTATTATTCTTTGGATAAGATCGATTCCGTAGAATATATTTTGAGTATATACTTGTGCAAAGTATGAAATTCAGTGAAAACTAATTCTGAGTGCTTCTAGCTCGAAAATGCCACGAAAATATTACTATTGGATACCGGATTAGCAGATCAAAATTGTTCTCATGCATAATAATAATCGTTGCAAAGCAATTGTACTACCAAGACATTGTGAAACATATGCGCTAAAACTGCATCTTTTTGATCTTGTAAATATGCGGGACTGAATCATTATTATACATCGTCAAAATATTCCCTGTACTAAATTTAGTAACAAGAAAATTATCTTCCACGGAATATAAGCACTCGCCCAATCATGTGACGAATAATATTTTTATCTAATTTATCTTGTGTTTGGAACCTGTCTCAGTTTCGGACCCCCCCCCCCCCCCCCTGCAGACCTGTGAAACGGAGCGCTTGTTTTCAGAACTACTGTCAACCCCCCCTTTATACTAGGAAACGGGAACCGTTGTGAGTCCAGAGCGATCAATAACGTCATAATCATCAATCACAATCATTGAGAAATTCATGTGATCGAAAATTTTTGATAGTACGTAGACAGTAATAGTCCTTTGCTTTGCTCCAGACAATCACTCCTTCGAAATATCATATAAAGCCTCTTCACAAGTATACAATATCTGAGAATCAATTACTATTAACTCTCGCCAGTTTATCAAGCCAATTTGTTTTGAAATCAGTTTATCGTTGGCTAAATAGCCGAATAACGAAATGTAACAATTACGAAAGTTGTACTCTATTACACCTCCAATCGGTATCGAGCCATTGAAAAGAAGAGACCTATCTAACCATCAGACAGCTACACGGCATTACTCTTCGTTGTGTATTACGAATTGTTAAATCGATTGGATCGATGAACGGCATATAAAAACTTCCATACAGAGAAATCTCTTTATGTCGGTCAACTCCGGCCACGGGAAGTTTAAGAGAAACCGGTGTATAGAACAATACTCCCCATAGTCATAATTAACCCCATTCTTAAATTTACAACCTTTTATAAGCACATTTCAATAAAAAGTTGCGTTGTTTTCGACAGCGTGTCGTGACTATAGTAATAAGAAGGGTTGAGCGATTTGTTCATGCGTGTGTAACTATAATTATGTATGCATAATAATAAGGGGAAACGTTTACAACGTTTAATAATGCGAGGAACTTTATCACAACATAATATTAACAGACCCCCATTGTTACCTCGCATTACAGCGACATCCAAACTCTTATAAAAAGACAGTTTATGTCTCTTTTTTACGATGTTATCGATTAGTTTTCATATCGATAACTGATTTATACTTGAACCCATTCGCAAGCAAAAGAATGAAAATGAAGTGTCAACCAATTATTGTGTTCTTAATTATTGGTTTCGTTTTTGGAAGTTACACTCAAGCATGCACTTTCTGTAAGTTAACAGATTTACTTGGTTAGTTTTTATAACATTCTAACTAATTATAATATCCTCTGATAGTCGCTGAAGGACGGTATAAGCATCAAACTGGTGACGAATCTGGTGGCTGTTTCGGTTTTGATAAGACTGATGCTATAAAGAAAATCAGAGTCAGTAATCCTGGAACTAGATATAAACTTTTTGCTAACACCGGCTGTAAAGGAATTGTTGTTGCTACGGGACATGATACAACTAGATTTAATCCGGCGATAAAATTCGGTTCAGTCAAATTAACTTGTCCCGAACAATGTATACCTGCAACAGTCACCACAGCGTTACCAGTGTCCACCACAAGCATGTTTCCCGACTGCACATTTACTGCCACTTCTACTGTTAATTGTCCCGGTAATAGCGGACATACAGTTCGCAACAACAATTGCCCAACTGTTACTTGTACCCTTGCAGAGACTACGTGCCTCTTTATCCCCCCCCCCTAAGCTGAAATCCATTTGAATTTCTGATTCAGTTTTGAAACAATTATTACGGGTAATTTATTAATTTAAAAGAGGTTATAGATGTGTGTATAATATAAATATTGTTAGTTTTTTTGTATCTTAGCAAAACAAAATCTAGTGTCTTTTTTGTTTTAGTAAATTACACCATATCTATTCATTGAGGGGAAAAAAATATTATATTGTTCATAACACTTAGTAATATTATATTATTTTAAATTAAATAAAAGAAAAGACCCCAACTAAGAATTATTCAAGAATACTTATTATTGTTGTTGTACAAATATTTTGCCTGAGGGTCGGCCAATTACGGAACATTTTGTTATAATACCAGCCTCCTTCTCAGGTAGGCTTCGGTCTTCCATTCTCTTTATAACCAGCTACTAGTTTAGCTGGATTATCCCATTGACTAAGTGGGGCCTCAACTTTATTTCCTATTCAATGTACCGTGATGAGTCTTTTAAATTAGAAACAGTTAAACTTCTGATCAATTTGTCCATAAATAATATATTCGAAAATTAATTGTAAGTCTTCTAATACTAAGTAGCAATTATTTTGACATTTGTTACATTAATTGAATCTCTTGAATAAGTATCTTATTTCCGAATTTTATACCTTTAAACCAATAATTTTTATTCCAATAACAATTTTTTTTTACACCATTACACGACAAACAAGTATCATAAATCTTTAATAATCTGTATATAATTTAAAAAAATTGGATGCTGCAGGTGGACGGACATTGGATATTCGTGTTACAAATTATCCAATAGATGACAAGTTCATTTTTTTTGTTTACAACCGCGACGCCTTTTTTGTTTACAACTGCGACGTCTTAACAATTTTATTATTATGATCATGGACGAAACTCAATTGAACGAAGACGTAGATTGAAAAGAGAGTCTAATGCTCGAACAAAATCTAACCAAACTTTGGAACAAAATGAACGGCGTAAAAGGCAAAAAAGAGAATCAAAACGCAAAACAACCACAGCTGTTCAGCCTTCATCAGTTCCAAAAGCACGTGTGTATCCTTTTAACTCAAGTACGTTGCAATGACATACTCTTGGAAAAATGGATACTCCATGTCTTTCTTGTGGTGCTTTAAAATGGTTAGATGAGAGAGTCACAAATCAACTAAACAATTACCTATTTTTGCAACCTGCTGTGCCCAGGGAAAAGTTCTGTTACCATCCATGTCTTCAAGAACCTCCAGCTGTCTTAAAGTCGTTCTTAATAGGTAATGATGCAGCTTCACGAGAATTTCGGCAAAACATCCGTGCATATAACTCAACTTTAGCTTTTACATCTATGAGAACTAAGATTGATGATCATATAACTGGTGCTTACTTTCCATGTACATTAACATGGTAAAGTGTATCATAGAATTGGATCTCTTTTTCCTCAGTCAACTGTTGAACCTCCTTTATTTGCACAGATCTATATTTTTGATACTGGTAATGAAACTCAAATAGGTTTAATATTATGCCCTCTTTAAATCTGGTAACTCTTGCAGCTCTTCAAAATCTAATAGTAAGTTTTTATGCTAATAAAAATAAATATGCCATTTATGATAATAATAAATAAACATAATATTAATAGATATTTTCCTATTTTTGGTAATGGTGATTTACATTTTGGTAATGAAAGTAATAGTATAGGACCCTGTGCTAGAAAGTATTCATATGAGGTTCCACTTGGGCATTCACGAGATGAATTTGATTGGGATGATTGGGAAGTGTTTCTAGTTTCAAAACTTTGATTTTATTTGTGATTTATAAATTTATACAATTAAAGAAAATATAATTTGTGGAAGCAAATTCTGATGTTCTTTTGTTATCACTATGCTGTATGCAGTATTAGTTTACATAATTATAAATAGTAACTGCCAGAGTTTACACAGTCTATTATAAAATGAAATTACAGCTGCGTGGCATACTAATATATAGCATATTTTTATGCATGTAGGATTTTACCAAGAATTTTAATATGTAAGAACAAACACATTCACTTAGTTTTATCCAAGCTCTTGAAAAAGACTGATCATTTTTGCAGAAAAAGATCTTTGGAATATATATGACTATCACTTGATCAAACATGTTATGCAAATACAAAAAAATTTAATTTATTGCAGTAAAATTTGAATGTGTTTCAAGCTCTGCGAGAAAAATGAGTATTTTCATTGACTTGTCCTCGGGCCTTTTAGCTGGTTATGAGAAAATTGTATGAAAGTGGCAGATATACGATATTTCAATCCATATTGGAAATAAAAATAGCAAAAATTTTTTCGGGCGCGTGAAGCAAATTTTTTGCGAACAACATAATGTTAACTGAGAATGCAGAGGTACCCATAACCTTTGAAGATGTATCCCCCGACGTTTTCGAAATATGACTCAGGTAAAATTCTCGTGAACGGTTGATGACAGTGTAACTTAATTATTAATGTTCTCTTTTGCAACTGTCTATCTACAATTACTATATCAATAAAACAGTGTACTACATGATTAGTGCTGTACCAGTTGATAAGTAAAGTAATTGTAATTGCCTTCAAATAATTGACAAAGTAAGAAATAATATTATTTATAAATGAATCCAAACTGACATTTTAATGCTCAAATATTGACTTAATATTAATTTATTGCAGTAGGCAAATCTGTTGA